ACGGACGGCGACTTATATGAAAAAACAGAATCTCAAAACACATTTTTGGTGTTTTGATAAAAGTGTTTATTTTTTGGATTTTGTAAAGGGTCAAGTCTAAAAAACGTCCCGGTTGTCAAACGCGTTTTATTGCTTTTGTTGAAAACAAAAACAGAAACGACAAAAACGTCACGGTTGTCAAACGCTCACTAAACTAATTAATAGACTTTAAAATTTTAAAGTTCTCTTATCAAATTAGTGACTTCCAAATCACAAATATAGATTAGTTTAAAGTACATAGCATATGGCTTGCAGGAACGAATACCATAAATGATTTCCATTGAGGTCATAGGGTCTTCACCTTGATTCTTTGGGCGTAAAGCTGGTATAGTTCCAATTAATGAAGAAATTTCTTTATACTTTCTACATCTTTTTGCACCTCTCAATGGAAGGTAAACCACTTTGAAAGAAATAGACCACTTTCTGAGGCAATACAAAACACAGCAAGATTAGATCAGAGCTCACTATAGAAACGTGTTTCAGATCAACAATAATTTTTTCCTCTGGGTAGTTTAACTAAATTTACATGACCTTTAATCTGTCTTAATCATGAAGCTGATACTTTAAAGAACATTACTTCTGCTGTTGTTTTCAAACTAACTAAATTTACAAGTCCCTAAATATGTCTTAATCAAGCTGATTCTTTAAAGAAACATTACTCTCTCTGTTATCTTTAAACTCCTAAACTAACCAAAGCAAAAGTAACTTAAGATGCAGAAGAACTAATAATTTACTTCCACAAAATCACAAAGATAATAGCTACGTGAAATGATAGACGACAAAGAATGACGTGAATCGTTAAATATTTCTAGTTATGGAAACCTTATATAATAGAACACGATGTATATCCAACATGGCATTATCATAAGACGTACAGAGCTAGCGTTTATTTTACGTTTTTTGTAAACACCTTACATTTTACATCCCATTAAGAGTGATCACAACTCTGCGGGGAGTTGCATGATCCCGATGTTCGCAAAGCCATATTCCCTGACAACGGATGTAAAGCGAATATAGATCAATGACAAATGCTACAGAAGGATATTTATCTATTAAAACATGAAACGAAGATGTAGCCACACAAAACAGAATAATATGCTATGAGGTTTACGCTGTTTCTGAGTTGGAAAAAGAAATTTCAAGATGGACCAAACAAATGTATAGAAGATTCTCTTTTGATTGGAAGCTAAATTATGAATTCTGACTACTCTCCTTCCAAGTCATCTTTATATATGCAATAGAGGTGAACATATAAGAAAAAATGAATTAATTGCACACCTGCCAAGTTCCCATATTGAGTCGGCCATCAGTAATAGGAATCCTGGATAGCATAATAGATGCGGTTAGGAGGCATCTTATTTTTGGATAAGGATGTCATTTACAGTGGGGGAAGTACAGTAAAATACATACGTGAGAGAACAACCAAACATCGATGATTTAATATGGGCTGGCATATCATCATGACCTGCAGGAAAAGCAACCAAAGATTTCCTTAGCAGCAGTAGGAAATATCAACAAGGTTATGCATCTATCTATCTTCCAACTAACTGAAGCCTTCTTCAATTTAAACTACAAGAGAGAGGGAGCCAGCAGGATCCTTCAGCCAACCATTTTCACAATCTCTGGAACCGACAAACGAATCATGACTGAAACGAAAATGTTATAAAAATTGTCCACCTGTTTATATCATATTGGACATCAAGACGGTAAGATTTTTTATGCATCCAAGTATATAAAGGTTGTTCCTATTAATGGAACGCTTACACTTCAGACTTCTTTCAAATTTTGAAATTGTGTAAAGCAGAACTTAAGCAATAGCAGAAATTAAGTAATATTACATAAAATTGCAAAATAGTAATATTCTACAATTCAGAAATAGCAGAAATTAAAATCACTGTGATCGCGATAACATGCACGAGGCAATTTAAAAACTACAAACCTTCAATTGTGTGCTTCCACGGTGCAGATCGCCCCTGAAAAGAACATATACGAAGGATAAGTATGTCACACACTAATCCATTCTGTAAGTTTTCGTCTTGTCAGATGCATCAAAGAATTTTTTATCACCTCTGGCACTATCCTATTAAGAAAGGTTTCGGTGTCATGTTGAACATCTGAATCGTAATTCTCATTTATGGTAAGAGAAGCACTTGTGTGCTGCACTGAAACATAAGATCCATTTTAGAAATACAACATAGAATAGCAACAAAAAAAAAGTGAGCATGAATAAGCAAATCACTCACAAAAAAAATGAGCTAGACCACATTTGAACCCAGATAAATCTTGCTCAATGTCCTTCATTATCTGAAAGGAACATTATCAACTCCAAGGTTGGTTAGATGTAATGCAAATGTATGTATATAACGAAGTAGTAAACCATATGCTCAACAGTACACTGAGATAAATGTTACTCAAGGTCGTAATCAATAATCTGCTTACCATAATAACTGCTTTAAACAGTATATTGATATAAATGTTCACAGTGCATACTCACAGTAAGCTATTCAGTTTTTGAAGAATTTTGTTTGTTCTGAGAGCTTAACGGAATGAACTGTAATACTGTTTTTAGTTGTACAGCCAGCAACAGAACTTAGGATCATTTTTCATCTTTAATTCTTTTGGAGTAAAGGTGGGGGCATTAAGGGAAATCCATAATTCCGTCACATTCCACAAACCCTAACTATTACTGTTCCTGTCATAGTCAAGCACTTAGCAATCAATCTAATAGCCAAGTGATGGTACAAGATAATATCTGCCCAGCTAGAATAGCAACAACTATGGTTTTAGCTAAATACATTCAGATCCTCGACCAATCACCCTTTTACACATGATACCTAAGCCTACTTGTAACATATATGATTAAGTGGTTAAATATGATCAGATCTAGATGGTAGGGGTGGGGAAAAGACCGAATAATTAACAAATAATTTGTATAAGTATTCGGTTATATTTGGTTAGTCGTTCATTTAGCAATAAATGAATAATTTTAGTATTTCAGTTCATGAACGAACAAAATTTAGCCAAATGTATATTCGATTCGTTTGTCTATTAACTAGTCCTTTATATGTTACATTGTCCAATAAATTTAATTTATTATGAACTATATTTATCCCAAATTTTTATTACATATCTAACCCTGTTACCCTATGTAAATACTAAAGAGGGTGAGAATCCAGATGACAAGCGCTAGAGTTTCTCTCGCGTTCCTCTCCAATCATTGTCTTATGCATCACCCGACATTGGTGTTATTTGCCTGAGCACCAAAAAGTATTCATGTGTTCCATGTGTCTGTTGAGGTAAATTCAATTGAGTTGGGGTTATACGTTGAAGAAGCGGAACAAATCAATTCGCTTCTCAAAAAAATTTGACTCAAGGTAGAGTTGAAATGTGTGAGATTCAAAATCAATTTGCCCTCCATTTCATATATGCCTAAGCTACCCAGGTACTTCTATTATGAAACCATGCCCAGACCCAACATGTACGCGTACCGAAACTACATGGGCGCTCCTAGGAAATATGTATACATATATTTAAACATGTACTCAATTATATGTTCTAATTTAAAACACTTGTCAGGAACTTCTTGTATCCCTCCCCTGTATTTCCATTTTTTTTAAATCGTGAGACATGGGTTGTGTCTGTTTCAGCTCATAACTATGATTTTAAAGGGTTGTTTGTGTTGTTCTAATTTAAAACACTTGTCAGGAACTTCTTGTATCCCTCCCCTGTATTTCCATTTTTTTTAAATCGTGAGACATGGGTTGTGTCTGTTTCAGCTCATAACTATGATTTTAAAGGGTTGTTTGTGTTGTTCTAATTTAAAACACTTGTCAGGAACTTCTTGTATCCCTCCCCTGTATTTCCATTTTTTTTAAATCGTGAGACATGGGTTGTGTCTGTTTCAGCTCATAACTATGATTTTAAAGGGTTGTTTGTGT